AAAAAAAACCCCAAAAAAACAAAAAAAAAAAAAAAAAAAAAAGACCACCCCCCATCACCCTGCCTGCACCAGGCATTAATGTGCTTCAGTAGCAACTCATGTGCCTAAATGTGGACTTAAAAGCCCTGGGGTACTGGACATCTGAGCAGGACTGGCAGCTACCACACTGCAATTAAGAGAGATCTTTGTGTCCTTGAAATACCACTTAGGCCCCAGTCCTTATCCCCTGGAGTGCCTGAAGGGGTGCTGGATGTTCCTGTTCCTATTTTATTTGCTACCTTTACTTTCACGAGTTTAAGTTTCATGACTGTGCTGAAACCAGCAAAGTTTCTCTGGTTGCTGCTCTGCCTGGCAACCCTTTACTGCTTATCCTCTGTTGGAATGCAGGCCTGGAGCAAATATTTACTGTGAGGCACATGCTGAGTTTTAGAATGTGTGACAGTGTTTGTTGTTCTAAATGATACAGCAGTCACAAAAGAGTTCTGCCCATTACAGAATTTTCCACCTTTTTTTTAAATTCTTTTTTTATGAGGTTGTTGCAAATTCTGTCTGTAATGCTCTTGGGAGCAGTTGTCAGTAGTGGCATTTTCCACGGCATAGCTTAATAGTTTTCCCATTTCTTGTTTTTTTAACTTGCTGCAAACCATTGGGGTTCTCAGAACTATTTCATTAAAGCCTGAATGAGATAACAGAGGAATGGGATGTTCTGGAGAAGAACACATCCCTTGGCAAACTATCCCTGTCCATTGGGATAGACTGCAGAGGAGAAGCCATTCCAGATGGGTGGCAAACCATTGCTTAGGATTGAAGCTGTGCTAAAATATAATAGGGTTGAAAGTAAAAAATACTCCTTTTTTTCGTTCCTCACCTCAAAGTGGTTCTCCACTTTCACCTTCAGAGAAATCCAGTCTTACCCTATGCATGCTGTGATGATCCTTTCTGCATCAAAGATGTGACAGTGAGGCTGAGATGCAAACCTGCCTCAGCAGCTCTGCAAAGCCTTGGGTCACACATGACAGCAGATTTCCAGAGGAGGTGTTAGGGCTGATAGGGAAAAAGCTGTTCTGTTAGTTCTCCTGAGCTCCTGGTGATGTCTCTTTTACAGGAACATTAAGTGACTCCTGTATTTGCTTTCTATTTTTCCAGATATTGAAGATTTACCACCCACAGTCCAGGAAAAATTATTTGATGAAGTACTTGACAGAGATGTTCAGAAAGGTAAATGCACTGGGAACAGCTGGGATCACTCCTGGCTTTTCATTAGAGAATGTGTCTCTTTCTAAAAATAAACTACATGTGTCTGTATATATATGGCTCTCTCCAGGAACATGTTTTAAATAGAGATTGGATATTTTCAACTTGATCTTCACCCTGGAATTCATAAAGTTACAGAATAGTTTGGGCTGGAAGGGTCCTTGAAGACCTCTAGACCAGGTTGCTCCAAACCAGCAACTTTGGGAATGGGGCAGCCACAGCTTCTCTGGGCAACCTGTGCCAGGGCTCACCACTTTGAAAGGGAACAATTTCTTCCCAACATCTCATCTAACCTTGCTCTGTGGCAGTGGTATGCCATCCCCCCTTGTCTTGTCACTGTATGTCCATATGAAATTATTTTAATTTTAACATTTCCATGCTATTTATGAGGCAGAGGGAGAATGCAGTTTGCACAAACCATGTTTACAGAGCTTTTAAAAATCTTTAAAAGTCAGTTTTGAGTCACAAGCTTTTTAAGGAAAACTGAAAAAAAAATCTTTTCATTTCAGTAACAATCCTCAAACAAATAACGTGGTGCTGTGGTTTGGTTTGACTTTTGTTTGTTTTACTGAGAGTAGTAGAAATTTTCTCAGCCAGCATAGTTGACCTGCTCATTGTAGTATGTCGGAAAGCGGGGTTTTATTCATGCAAAGGGGTAAATTATTGAGACTGCCGTTATTGTGCTGTCCGAAATCTCTGAGATAAATGAACAGCATGTTAAGAGCTGGCTGTGCCATTGCAGAGCTGGAAGAGGAGTCTCCCATCATTAACTGGTCCCTGGAGCTGGGGACACGCCTGGACAGCAGGCTGTACGCACTTTGGAACCGCACTGCCGGGGACTGCCTGCTCGACTCCGTGCTCCAGGCCACCTGGGGCATCTACGACAAGGACTCCGTGCTGCGCAAGGCTCTGCACGACAGTTTACACGACTGCTCCCACTGGTGAGTTAGGACAGCTTCTTCCATGTGCTGTCACAGCAAAACCCCACAGCCACCCTGCCCCAGTTCCCTGGGGATTTGTTCCTCAGAGCTGTCAACTCACTGTGGTCCCAGCTGGGATCTTGTGTTTTAAATACGAGCACTGGAAACTTGGATGCTGTGAACTGAGGGATGGGGAGTGATGCTCAGCAAATGGCATTTCAAACACTAAAATGCTTTATATTTACTTGTCAAGCATGCACTAACCACGGTTACTGCAGCTGGAATTTGTGTCCTTGCAATGTAAATCATGCACATGCCATGCCTTGCTGCTTGGTGGGAGCAGAAGATTGTTAGTAGAAGATAGCCTTTTATTCCTTATAAACTTTCCAGTATTTTCATTCCATCTGCTTAGTTATGGCTTTACTCAGGATTGCTCTTTTTATCCCTATTCTGTCTGCTAAAATAATGGCAGCAAAGCAGGGAGTGTTGACATTTAACTGGTTCTGTCGTTTGGCCATAAAATTGATTTATCATTCTGTAAAACAGCTTTTGTTGCTTTGCACAGACAGTCTTCTTTAGTCAGATACTTTGGTTTCCTTTTGCTGCAGGGACAATCTTAGTTGGACCCCCAGGGGTGTCCAACAGCTGTCCAGGGTGTCCTGGACTAAGGGATGAGCTGATAAAGACTGATAATCCAAGTCACAGATGATCATTTCTTTGGTGTTCTTGTAGTAAAGGACAGGAGAAACACTGTCAGCACACATATTGCAGAAGGAGCTTGTCCCTGTCCTCTTGCTGTACAGGAGGTCAACAACAAAGATTAATTTAGCAGTACCTGTAAGTAAATTTTGTGCTGTTGGGGGAGAACTACACAAATTAGCATCCAGAGCTGGATTGCAGAAAGTGGTGCTTCAGTAGCAATTCTTCCAGGAACCAGTGTTGGAAAGGATCTGTCACTGCTTAGGAGTTGTTCAGCATGGAGCGTGCATCTCAGCCATGCAGGAATGTCCCTGGCATCACAGGCAGCTCCCATGAGGCCAGAATAGAAATTTAGGATAGATGAGGTTTTGTTCTTTATGGTGTCCAAAAACATGCTGCAAACTACTGAGCTTTGGACCACATCTCTCAAAATGTTGGTGTTAATTGTGGTTGACTTATTCCTGTATCTTAACATATCTCTCATTTAGAGGCTATTCAGTCTTGTTAAGCTTTTTAGTTTATGTCTAGACAGAATTTTTGTTTTACTCTGTGTAATTTTTATCCTTATTAGAAGCATAATTTTTAACTGATTGATGTGTTTCTTCAAGGGAACAGGTCTTCAGACTGAAAGGAACAAGTATTCAAGGAACAGATCGTGTTCCTTGTTAGGAACAAGGCTTTAGAATAAGTCTTTTAGCCAGATCCTTTTGTAAATTGATTATTCTGTATATCCTATAGGTGCTGTATGGATTCCATTTGAGAAGATACATTTAATTTTGTGGGCTAGGACACGTGGCCGATAGGAAGTGATGTCGTCACTGGAACAGGCTCTTAAATGCAATCCCTGCTTAAACTTTTATCTAGTGGAATTATTCTTCAAAGCCTCCACAAAGACAGTTAAAAATGGGTATTTTTATAGTTAGACAGAAAACACTCATGTAACTCATTTGACCTCATTTTGCTATGTTTGTTTAGATGCTGAACAAAGAAAAAATCTATTTACCAGAAAGTCTTGTGTCTGGTACTCAGAAAAAGCTCCATAGTGAAGTTCCCAGAGGCTTTGGCCTGTGGAGTCTTTTCCACTCACCTTTCAATACCTCCACTTTTTTAGTTCACACAAAAGTGTGTTCTGATGTGTCCCTTTTTGTATTCCACCATTAGCTTTTGCTGGAGAATGGGCACATGTCCTAAGTTGTCTTTCAGAATTTTATTCTTTAATGGATGCATTCAGTTCTCTTGTGTTAACCTAAAAAGTTTGCTTTAAATGACATCAAAATCTTTTCTATGGCTGACTAACTCAGGGAAGAAGCTTCTTTAGGAGAACACTTTCACAGTCCAGCTTTAGGGAGTAGTTTGGTGTTTTCCTTTTTTTCCCTTGAGTTTTCTGGGCTTTCTCTCTTAGTCTGGTGATGTGGGAGTTTTTGTTGTTGTTCTGTTTTTTCTTCACCAGAATCTGATTAAATTTCTTTCAGGAGACCCAGGAATTAATTCAGAGTGCTGTTAGAGATTCATGACAGAAAATAGGCAAAGTATTTATCAGCTACAAATGTGGAAGTGTTGGCGTGTTCGGATAAAAACTGGAATGTAGATCCAGATGAATCCCTGTAAATATTACTGTCAATTAGCACAGACCTATCCAAATATATTAATAATAGGAATTTTAAGTCAAGCCAAGATTTTAGGTGGACTCTGGACACCCAGCCTGGCTGGTGGCTGCTGTCATACACAAGATTTTAAGGTTATTCCAGCTTCACTGAAAGCATAGGAAAGATCTTACCCACACACACTCACTGCCTGCTAATATTCTCAGGTTTTAATTAAATGAGTTCATTTCAGTGACTTTTTTAATAAGCTGAAACTTTAGAATGGTTTCTTTGTCTTCACAGTAAAGGCCATTGTTTAAAAGCTGGCTTGGAACTGTTCCCTAAATCCCTGTTCCTAATATGAATTTGTGGCTTTTCCATGGTGTGGTGATTGGACAGAGTTTAAAATATTAAAAAGCAAACATCTTCCTTGAACGTGTCATTTTTCTTGGTAAATGGTTAAATAAAATATCATGACTAAACTAAATCCCACTTTGCTTATTGAATTTTTATCCACACTGCTTTATAACTCCATATAATGTGGAATTACCACTCCTTTACTCCAAAATCTGGTATATAAAACAGATTCTGCCTCTTAACCATGGTTTGTTGGAAATTGATATGCAAGTACTTTGAAGTTAATTGACTCATTATGTGGTTAAAAATAGAAAATACCTATATTTTTTGTGTGAGAAGAATGAACAGCAACTGTTGAATAAAATTGAATATCTTACTTATGTTCCCTGTATATCAACATTTAAATAAGCCTAAATGAGATTAAAAAAAACAAACCCTATTGCAAGAAGTATCAAACTAGGCAGGAGCCTGATAGGAACTTGGATCATGTTTGCTGCAGGCATTGTTTTTTTTTGTTTGTGTTTTTTTTAAGTGGTTTTTAAATTAAGATTAATAAGTGGAGTCTCCTGAAGATGAAAAAGAAAACAAAATTCACTTTTCCTGCTACTTGCTCTCTTTCTTCCCCCTTCTTGGGATGAAGGATTACAAGGGTTCAATACTGCTGTCAGGATTATGGTGGTTGAGTAAATATTTTTGCCTTTATGATTTTTTCTGTCTCTCGCTTAACATTTTAGGTTCTACACACGCTGGAAAGAGTGGGAATCGTGGTATTCCCAAAGCTTCGGTTTACATTTCTCCTTGCGAGAGGAACAGTGGCAGGAAGATTGGGCATTCATTCTCTCTCTTGCAAGCCAGGTAAGAAAATTCCTTTGTTAGAGGGCTTTTGGAAAAGATATTTTAATTTCTGGAAAGAAGTTTCAGAACTAGAAGAGTTTTTCAGAGATAAGAATATTCCTGTATGAAGGAAAAACATTCCTCTTAAGCAAATGATCTTAAAATCTTACTGGGTAAACTCTTCTACAGATACAGAAAGGTTAATTTGAAATTATGATTTTTGAGCTTCCTAAGCAGTGCAACACAAAAAAAGAATTGTGGTATTAGAGTGAAGTCTGTAGAACAAACTAACAGACAATCCTGTTTAATATCCAGCTCTTAAAGCACTTTTACCTCTCAAAACACACCTTCAAATCTGCCAGCTTACATTGCTCAAACTCCAGCAAGCTGAGATTTTATAACTCCCCTCCAAAATGAGATTTACATTCCTATAAGCTTCCAGCTATGGGAGTATTTTTAGCTCCTCTTTTAAAGTATAGACATGATTTTGGTGCTTTTTTTTTGTGATTTTTTTTTTTGGATGTGCCCTTTTCCTATCATCAAAAGGTATTTGTCTTAAAGTGCCCTCAGATGAAGGAGTTATTTTTAGACCTAACATTATGGAGAGTTTCACTTTTGAATGGGGAATGAAATCCATTACACTGAATCTGGACAATAGGACAGAGAATTATTACTGACAGCTGACAAGCTGAAATATTTTCCCTTATTTCCAATAATTTTCCAGTCTTGTTTTTTCCTGTCAAAGCTTTATCACTCTTAAAAGCATTTTCTCTCTCAATTTGAAGACTGTTTTTCAAATTTCAAAGTAGAGGATGGAAGGTTCTGTTTCAAGTGATGTCTTTCTTTGTGTTTGGTTCAGCCTGGAGCGAGTTTGGAGCAGACACACATTTTTGTACTTGCACATATTCTTAGAAGACCAATTATAGTTTATGGAGTAAAATATTACAAGAGTTTTCGGGGAGAAACATTAGGATATACCCGCTTCCAAGGTAAGCCTTTCATTTTTTAAATTCACTTTTAAACAAGGTTGGGCTGTAAATCAGTAGTGACATGAAGTGACTGTCTAGAAAAGGATGGAATAATATTGTAGGGAAATTTTCATTTGCTATTAAAAAGAACAAAATAATCCTCTCCAAAGTTGCAGTTTTTCAATTTATAGTGGGCATGGTGCCTGTTAAAGTGAATTTCATGATACTTTAAAGGGAGTTTTTAAAATTGTCTGTGTTTTAGTGATTCACACTACAGCAAGTGTGGTGTGAATACTGACTTATTTCTCATTAGTACTACAATTTTGCATAGCTTGATCATATTCTTTCTGACTTTTCCTCCTGCTTGTCTTCAGGACAGCCTGGCTGTCCTTATATATGAAGATGACTCAGTCCAGTTTTGCTTAGACTTAACATCTGTAGGTTTCTAAACATGTATTTTCTGCTTTGCAAGCCAAATCTGTGGGCAGCTTTCACCTCTGTTACATGCTAATACTTTATTATTCAAATAATAAAACATGAGTGGGGATTGGGAGCATCTGCACAAAGTGAGCTGTAAACAGAACCCATGGGAAAGGAGCTTTGTTTGTTCTAGGGGGTTGGCACATTTGTTTTTCCCACAGTTTTGTATTCCTGCTCTCAAGTACATCTGCTTGATGATGACCACTCTTTATTTCTAGCTTAGCTGAGGACTTCCCAAAACACCTTTGTGATTTGAAAGAAATAAGTGTGGTGACTTTGGAAGGAGGCAAGCCCATGATCAATAGAAAACCCTAACCTAAAACCTAAGCTGTGCAGTTAATTTATAACTATTCAGAGTCATGGCTTCTAAGTTTGGGGCAGTAACAAAACTTCATGTGGGGAAATTAATTACTTTTCTGAAGAGTCTAGAAGTTGAGTAGTTGTTTTAGTTAGATGTTAACTTTTCTTTTGATGATGAAAGGCTGGGAAAGAACAATTACTTGTGTCACTTAAATCTGACACTCCAGCTTTGTGTTGCTTTTAATTCCAAGGCTTAGTGGTTTGCAAATGGTATTTCCTAGATTGGGCATTGAGGCAGACAAGTGTTACATGGCTTAAATGTGCTGAAATTTTCTTGCTCTGTGAACCAGAAGAAAGCCAGGTGCCTGGAACACCCTTTTACTGCACATGGGATTCCAGGAATTTAGGCAGCCCAAATAGTTACCCCTTGAGATTTACTTGCCACAATCCACATCCATCCATCCATGGAAGTAGCACTGGGAACAGGTGAACTTGGAGTCCTGTGTCACAGTAGCTGGAATTGCTCCTCTCCCTGCCCAGCCACATTTTTGTGGTTAATGTGTGCAAATCAAATGTCATTGGCACAGCTGAAACCCAGCTGAGTGGACTGGGAGTGGGGTGGGCTGCCAGGAGGAGTCTCCTGCTCTGGGCCTGGGTGTGGGCTGTGCTCAGCACATGGAGCTTTGAGGAGTTTTGGGGTGTCCCTGCATCTGTTTAACATCACATCCATCAGAAAAGCCTCTGGAAGTATCCAAGGCCGGGTTGGACAGGGCTTGGAACAACCTGGGATAGTGGAAGATTGGGCAGGGGGTGGAACTGATTGGGCTTTAAGGTCCCTTCCAACCCAAACCACTCTGTAATTGCGGATTATCGTAGAAATGGGGAATTGATTTTTTTTAATGCTTGTTCAACATCATGGTTCAGTTTGTAGCACCCTCTTAGACACCCCATAAATTCTCTCCCTGACAGGATTTTTTTTCCCCAGGGATTCCTTGTTCCAGCTTGGCATCCTTGCTGTAGCTGCTATGAATCCATAATTGCCAGCCTCCCTGCTTCCCAGATTCCAGCTGACTGTTAATTCTTTAAATACTGCAGCTTCAGTGGTGGAATATCTGTTTGCTCAAGCCCTAACTATGATCCTGGTCAGACCCATCTGGTCTGGCCACATTTATTTACACAGCTTTTAAAATTGAACAGGAAAAAAGATGACTGACTGAAGTGATCATCAGGTCAGGAGGGAGAAACTAAATCCTATGTGGGTGGCTTCAGGATAGGTGTTAGCCCATATTCTTTATTTTCTGTGGCTTGTGTTCATGTCAACTGTTGTTACATGACCTTCTGGCTTTATATCAGAGTGACTTTTATAACTCCTAAGAGCACTAGATATTCTCCCTGGCAATGCTTTAAATTCTTTTCCTGTGGAGCTCATCGCAGTGTTGAGGAGGAATAGAGAGTTTAGCACAGCCTTCTGTCTTGGGGAAATGATTAGTGTGGAATTTTCCCCAGGATAAAACAATGGTGAAAGAAGATTTCCAAACTTGTTGAATTTTAGTGTAGAGATGGAGGCAAACAGATGAGTTTCAGTCCTGAAAGGTCACAAAGCTGTGCTCCCAGGAACTGGAGGACTGTCTTCCTTACATTTGACTGGATGTCATCTTGGGTGTAAATTTGAGTTTTGACTGGATGCTTGCTTCTTTCTCTTAATGCAAAGGCTTAAAATTTTCTGATGAACACTTACCCTGTGTTCTTCACCTTTTGTGTTTAACATTGCTTTAGAGTGAGACTTAATAATGGGGACAGGAGGAAGGGAGGGCTGAGAAGGTATTGAAAGGATCTGTCTTTAAATCGAGGTGTTGTAAAAACTTGCGTGAATCTTCATTTTAAACAAATGGCAAGACTAGATAGCTCTTGATTTCTAACTCAAAAACAAGGAGAGGAGGAAAAAGGGACAATTATTTACTGGTAGCCCCCACTAATTTTTACTGCAGTACAAAAAGATGAGCTCAAAACTTACTCAGAACCTCCAAAGCCATTCCCTGCCTCAAATTCCCATTTTAGCGTTGCCCTTCCCTCTCCATGGCTGTTGGAGGAGCGCTGTGTTTGCAGCAGCAGCTGTACCAGGAGGTTGCTATGCTACATGTGCACTTGAGTTTATGTGGGGCTATTTTTAACCTGTCACAAGGTGAGCTGTGCTTTTGCTTAAGTTGTCTTGCAGCAGTACACACCAAGAATTATTTATGTTCCTGGAAGAAAGGAGTTGCAATTTTATTTTGAGACCTGGAGCGAACTGCTGTCTTTATTGCTAAAAACGGTGGGGAGTAAAAGTGCAGTTCTCAGAATCTGTGACATCAGGTGTTGGTTGTAAGCTGAGCAAAGCAGTATCAGCTTTTTGGTGCTTCTTTTTCTTTTCTTTTTTTTTTTTTTTAATTGATATGAATAATTGATGTGTGTTAATTTAATCTGTGAGTACTGAATATGAGCAGTCCCGTTCTCTGGGATGGGTTACATCAGTGCTGAGTAACATTTTGTGCAGTGAGTTCTTTTAATAATAAGTTTTGTGAGCAGATGGTGGGATTTTTGCTCTGGTAAAAATAGCTGAATGTAGCCTTTATTTCTATGATGCATAATCTGATTTCTTTTCCTTCTTTTTTCCTTTTTATTTTAAGAAGAGTTACCAAACATAAACTACTGCTTTTTGCTTTTCTGAACTTGTTTTTCGTTCATCACTGCACTATAGACCGTAAATTTTAGGGCTGTGGTAATGTATTGGTTATGATTGTAATCTTTTGTGTTTAAACTTGTACAGTTGCAAAGATACTTGACTTGTGTTAATAACAATTAGCTCTACTGAAAAGTGTGCCTGTGTCAGTGTAGACCCAACCATGTGTGTTTTAAATGTGATGTGCTTCTGTTTGACCCAAACCAAAAGGTTTCTATCAAAACCCTTCCTTGTTGAGCAGCAGCTCTGAGCCTTACCCTGTGTTTCACTCCCACAGGTGTGTATTTGCCTTTGTTATGGGAACAGAGTTTTTGTTGGAAAAGTCCCATAGCTCTGGGCTACACGAGGGGCCATTTCTCTGCCCTGGTTGCCATGGAGAACGATGGCTATGGCAATCGAGGCGCTGGTGCTAATTTGAACACTGACGATGATGTTACTGTTACTTTTCTACCCTTGGTGGACAGCGAGAGGAAATTACTGCACATTCACTTCCTTTCTGCTCAAGAGGTAAGAAAGAAACATCTGGTGTGTGGTGGTGACTTTGTCACAGCTGCTCACTGAAGCTCAGCAATCTTTGTAGCTCCCTGAGTTTTTTGGTGTCCAAAGAATTACAGGGAGGGTGCTGGTTAATTAATGCTGCTCCCTTCTCCATCATTCCAGGTGATTCTAAAAGGTATTTTCCCACAAATTTGATGCTTATTTACAGCTCTGTCAATGGAATGTACTTCACTGTCCATGTAAATCACAGAAACAGAATCATAGTATAGAAACACAGAAAGTGCTGAAGCTGGAAGGGACCTACAAGGATCATCCAGTCCAACTCCTGCCCCTGTACTGGACACCCCAACAACCCTACCCTGTGCCTGAGAACACTGAATATCAGCATACTTAGGACACAAAAATAAGTGTTCTGTCACCAAGGCAAAACTAAAATCTGCCTTTTGTTTGTTTTTTTTTCCTAATAGATGCAGCACAAATATTGGGCCATAGTTGCACCATTTTCCACCTAGTCTAATGAAACTCAGCTCATTTTTGCTTTAATAACTATGATAAAATCATGGAACTACTTCACTAAAGGTTGTGCATGGGTGAAGGGAGGGCTGGAAAACAGAAGTAATTGCAGAATATGGTCATTCTGTAAATAAAAGGAGAAAAATAGGAGCTTCAAGTCTAGAAAGGGATGTTTCTTCAGCAAGCCACAATACTTGTTACATTTTACAAGAGAAAATATTTCATGCCAAGAACTTAGGCACCTAAAAATGTGTTTGTAAAGCCAGAAAGCTCTTCTAGGACTTCCTTCCTTATATATGGTGCTTGCTATAGATAAATAATAGCTTAAAAATAAATGTAGGCCGTACTGGAAATATACAAGTGAAAAATTGGGGAGAAGAGCTGGAGAGTACTTGCAGCTCTTGGTTGAAAATGCAGTGGGCATCTTTTGGAGTAGCCTTGGAGTGGCTGCCTGGAACAGAGGCTAGACTAGAGATTAGGAGAATCCAACACGACACACGTGGGGCAGGAATGGCGCTGGGCCTTTGGGAACCTCACTGCTGGTGTTTTGTGTCCCCCAAAGATAGGCAACGAGGAGCAGCAGGAGAAGCTGCTGCGGGAGTGGCTGGACTGCTGCGTGACGGAGGGAGGGGTTCTGGTGGCCATGCAGAAGAGCTCCCGCCGGCGCAACCACCCGCTGGTCACCCAGATGGTGGAGAAGTGGCTCGACCGCTACCGCCAGATCCGGCCCTGCACGTCCCTGTCCGACGGCGAGGAGGACGAGGATGACGACGATGAGTGAGGGGGAATAAAGTGCAAATGAGCAGCGCAGAGTGTGTGACCCTGAGTGAGCGTTGTGCTGTAGCAGTTGGGTGTGGAACGACCCAGGTCTAGGGGATACTTGCTGGGAAGGATTCTCCGACAGCACGCGGAGAGGATGGACGCTCATCCTGCTGCCTGGAGAGAGCCAAGTGGGCTGAACTACAGTTTGTATAAAAACATGAAAAAGAAACAAAAAACAGCTAATTTTATTATCAAGATGGAAAAAAAAAACAAACCAAACCAACCCCATTTTTCTTTCTGACTGTAAATCTGTCTATAAATGTACCGCATGTGGTTGTGTAAGAGGTTGTGTAATAGGAAACGTATACCAGCATCTTAATTATTGCAGAGAAATTTTTCAACTAAGGGCACTTCTGAAAGCACATGTGAAGCTGGATGGATATCTCCTCCTTCTGAGATTCTTTTACAGTAGAACCTGGTCTTCTCCATCACCTTTTAGATACTCTGACACATTTCCCTGAAAGGCCCTTTCCTGTGAAATCTCACTAGTGCCCAGGTCAGATTGTGAGAGGGTTTTTTTTTGTTTGCACAGATATCCACAGCAAGTCATAAGCAAAAATACATTCATTATTTTACTAATATTTTAGTTATTGCTGTGCCCACATAATAAAGCCTAAACTCTATGGAACAAACTGGAAGAGAAGCTAAATTTTCATTGAGTGAAATTATTTGTTTCTTGAAAAAGGCTTTTGGGGTTTATTTTGCCTTCTTTTTTTTTTTTTTTTTCTTCTAATAGTTAATAGTTCCTTTCAGTATACATAAGGATATTTATTCAGAGAAGTGACCTAAAAGACAGGGATTTTATTCCTGTGAGCATACACTAAACAAAATTGTGTGAAATCTGAGAACTTGAACACAACTGAGAATTTAATCTTGTCAGAACTCTGTCTTGCTGTGTTACAAATTATATCATTTTATCATTTATTCTTTAATCACTCAAACTTTGCTGCAAATGAAAAAACACCTCTTTAAAGGTTACTCCTCGGTCACTAAATCTACTGAGAATCCACTTGGCAGTTCTAATTAAAAAGAAGAATCTATGCTCAAGTTGTTTAAAAGCACTGTTATATATTTCCCAGTATGTAAACCTGGGAATTTCTTGCATGTTGATTGATGTGGCCATACTTAAACTTATGTAAGTTCCTGAGACTGTAAGTTCAGAGTATATTCTCCAGTAGAAATTTTATTATATTTGATAACTTTAGCCATGTAACCTGTAATGGATAAAGTTTATCTAAAAATCTCACTGAAACACTAAAGGTTAATGCCAGTTTTTACATATACAGTGCAATTCAGGTTGTCTTGAAAAGCACTTTTGATGGTGTGGTGGTTGAATAAGAAATTTTCCAGTAGATGAAACTGTTTTAATTAGAATTTGGAAAGAAGCCCCATAGCACCTATTTTTATGTAGTTCAGAGCTATGGAAACCCTGAGGAACTTGCTGCTTTTTCTTCCAAATGCTGCTTAGATGGTGTTGAAACGTGCACAACTGCTACAGAAACTTGGTGATGACACCGAAAGTAAAGAAATAATGAAGTACTGTATTAATTTTGCAATTTTCCCGTCCTAGATTCCACTGAGGTTTATTATGTCTTCACCTTTTTTGGCCATTAGATTTCCTCTGCTTGGTGCATGCCCAGATTTCCAGGTGAAGGATGAATGCTGCTCTGCCATGTGTGAGTGACCCAAATTCACCACCCAGCCCCAGATATTACAGGGATTCTTCATGAGCGCACGGTCCTGGTTCAAGTTCCCCTTCTAAATTGGGATTTATTTTTTTTTTTTGTCCTTACCTTGCAGTGAAATCCTTTTATACCTTGTCTAGCTGAGGATGTAAAGCTTTTCTGTCAGGAGAGCTGAATGCAGGGTAAGCTGGGATGAGGATTTCCGTGCCCTGAGCTGGCCTGCACCGTGTGCTGGAGTGGTTTATGTGTCGTGCTGTGACCACGGGGGTCCTAACTCAGCCAGCTTGAGGAGCTCTCAGTCAGTGGCCAGACCTGTAACTTCAGATCCCAGCCTGCCCCTGACCAGCTGCCCTGTGGACAGAAGGGAAAGCCTCTGATTCCATGGGCTGCTCAGGGCAGGCTGTGGAGTTTTCACCTCCCACCCTGTGTGCTTTTGGCAGTGCTGTTCCGTTCAGGGAAGCAAAGCTTCCTTATTCCAAGGGGAGAATTACCAATGTGAAAGTCTGCCTTGAGCCAAAGTGGCCCAGCTGTCCTGCCCTCCTGTCCTGCTGCCCATGGGCAGCCTGCATTGTACCCCTGTCCCCCCCAGCTCTCCCCAGAGCAATGGAGTCCCTGTGCTCAGTTCAGCTGTTCTCAAATGCATTCACCAATGAATCTCTGGTTCTGCTCTGACAGGACAGTCCTGGTACTTTGGATCACTTGGCTTCCTTGATCATTATTGTTTTGTTCTGATGTGCTGTACAATGGTCTGTTCAGGTTCACATGGTTCACAGGCCCTTTGGGAACTGGTGAAGTGTCTTTTTCAGAATCAGAGTAATCCAAACCTCCTGTACCTGTAGATTAAAGAGCTGCAACCCCCAGTGCTCACACCACAGTCAGTCTGTGTCAGTGGCTCCTCAATCACATACCTGAAAGTTTACAGACACTGAGATTAATCTGTACACACTCCCCTGCAGCCTGTCAGCAAGTTCTGCACTTTCAGCCATGAAAATATATATTAAAAATCGGGTTTCTCAATGTTATTTTCCTCATATATTGCTCGCAGCAGTACACATTTTTCTAGCATAAACTTAGCTTTTCATTGCTACCTCCTTTACAGCTGGTCAGGTTTTTTTTCTGGTTTTATTTATGACTTCCTCAGTGAAAATCCCTGTATTTCTTTTGCTTTAATATATTAAAATTTAGTAATTCTGGATTCTTCCAAAGTTCTGCTGCATGGCTTATGGCAAATACCCCCGAGTTGCATTTCCTCCATTACCCATGTCGGTTTGTGTTTGGAGACCTTGTTTAATTTCTGCTTTTCATTTTCCCCCCTTTTATTCAGTAACTTCCCCTAATGCCCTTTTCAAAAGGTTTTATTTAATGTTTGTCACCTTGAAGCTGCTTGTTTTGACAGCTACTTTGACATCTCTGGAGCTTCCCTGGAGAAAGAGATGATTATCCCAGGAGAGCCTTCCTGCCTGCCTTCCCTGAGCGGGACAACAGCAGCATGGCTCTGTCAGCCACAAACCTTCAGCAGCAACTGTTCATCTCCTGTTTCTTTGCCCAGCAATTTTCCATTTGAGAGCTGCAGCTCCTGGTGCTTTGGCATCTCCCAGCTGTGATGATGTTCTTCCCTTTCCGCTTCCACGGCTCCAATCTTTGCATGTTGTGCTGGTGTTCTCCCTGCAGGCACTTGTAACCCTTGGGATGGCTTAACCTCTGCTCCTGTTGAGCTTGTGGCACTTCTGTCCTTGGTTTTGGCTGAAAGGGAAGTTGGGTGTTGGATGAAAGCTCCAGCATTTTCTGAGCTCGGAGTCACTGCTGGCTCACGGATCCTGCGGCGCACGGAGGTTATTGGATTATTGAGAAACAAAGTACCAGGGCTCGTTTATTTTTAAAACAACTCTAAACCTTAACATCAATTAAATGTTTTCCTCTTGGTTTTGATGGTCATTTCAGTGTCTCCCAAACACTTCTCCCCATATCTGACCTGTTTTATCCCAGTTTCTCGCAGAGGTCATGGATAACTCGCCACTGGGCTGTGCTAAGCACTGACAAGGAGCCATCCCTCTGTAACAGGTGACCTCTTTTGTGGATGTTTGAAGCTGGTAACCAAGTTTTCAGTTTAATTTAAAGCAAACAAAATACAGAGTTTTGTAACTTGGACACTTTGGTTTCAGCTTTTTTTAGTCCCCGTCTAACTCCATCTAACTCCATGTGTGTGGCACTTGAACACAGTGGGAAAGAAGGGTAGAAACAAGAACAGGCTTTCTGCCCAGTGAGGCTCAAGCAGCACCTCCTGAACACTTTTTTGGGCTTTATTTTCCAATGGTTTGATAATGCTTCAGCTCTTGAAAATGTACAGAAAATGTTAGTTTGAGTTGTAGCTGCCTTTGTAGCTTAGTGGAAACCCACAGTGATCACTTCATCACAGAATGGTCTGAGTTGGAAGGGCCCTTCCCCTCCCACTGTACATATTCACCAAATATGATCAGAATTATGTTTCTGTACCTTATGGTTACCTCTCAGTGTCTCCAAGCCCCAGACTGCAGCGAGAGCTCTTGGCCTTTCAGAAATTATAGAAATTTTATCACTTTTTATTGAAAACTGCACTGAACGCTAAATGTCCACCTTTACAATAAACAAATACAGTAACGGTAACACACTAAAACAAAACATACTGATAGCCATTGGTTTCTTTTTTTGTCTGTTTGGGACAGCTCAAGATTTCTTTTTTTTTTTGTCACAGAAACAGGAATGTACCCATACAAAGGCTCAAAACAGGCCATCTTTAAAAACAAAAAGGCGATGATTCACAAAAGACTATGAATATAACATGTAACTAGTTGATACAAATCTAATAGGATTTGTTAAAATCAGTCACATCTAATAACACATCTTGAAGTGTTCTTGTATAAAATATCACGTGAAGAAAAGAAGACTTTTATCAATGTCTAAAAAAGTGGATTTTGTTCATAGACAGTCTGACAAGTTACCATAAAAAGTGTTTCCTGAGACATAAGGAAATGCAACATTATTCTTGAACCCTTTCCAGCTCAAGACTTTTTCCACTTGATAAAATAGCTGCAGATTTAAAACTGAGAAAATATATTTGAGTACAAATAGTGTGTGAAACTTAATACTTTCTTCTTTTTTTTTTTTCCTTTTTTTTTCTTTTTTTTTCTTTCAGTTTTTCTTGCATCATTGCAGGGCGTAGGTGGATGCACAGCTACTTTATTCAGTGTACTGGGCAGAGAAGAGACTGGCAGTTTGGTTTTCCTTAGCCTGGGAGGGCAGTGCTCAGTGCCAGGAGCCCTTTCTGCCCTCCCCATCCCACAGATCCCGGCTGGAATGGCTGGAACTTAGACCTGGCAGGAGAACTTCTGTTACACGGCACTGGCCCTGTGAGACTGCAAAAAGGAGGAGGAGGAGGATTTTCTTTTTTTTTCTTCCACTTCTAAGCCAGGACTGCTGCCCCCCGTTAGGAGAGGTCACCAGATGCAAGAGAAAGGAAAGGGCTGAAGCCACACAATGGTTTCTTGTGAACTCAGTAAAGATGGCTTAATTCAGTGGCCTGGACACAGTGCAGGAGCCCTGTCCTTCCCAAGGAATTGAGGGGGGAAAAGAAATTCATTTTTATTCATGTGATTGATGCACAGATGAAGGAAACTCAACACACAATAACAGAAGTTGCTCATTAACGTATCACATCCTAGTTTTCAGCACTGCAGGGAGCAGGTGACTTCTCCAGGGCTTCTCCCCAGTCTTGGCTGCTGTCACTTTGTCGGGAACACTGGAACATCAATGATGCGTCTGTCCAAAATCAACATTACAAATTTCGTATCAAATTCTTCTCTTTTAGTTCATGTATAACTTCTTTTCCAATGTCTCTTGGTCCTAAGTTTATTGAATGGTTTTTAAATTCTCTGCTATTGCTCGTTGGGATGTTCCCTGTTGTCCCCATGTTTTGTGGGCTGGTTGGGCGATGGAGCTTGGGAAGGATGTGCCACTGTGGGAAGGTTGTGAGTGACAGGGATGCCTCCGGGAATGATCCCCTCCATAGCTGCTGGGATTCCTCCCGGTGCCACGCTGACCATCCCTGGGGGATACCTGGCAGAGGAGACACACAGAGGCAGGTTTGTCACAGCAGAGCTCATCACACACCCGTCAGCCCACCGTGGAGAAGAGAGATCCCACTTCTCTCCTGGAGCCAGGTTTGGTTTTCCTTTTAAGTTACAAGAGAGAGCTCGGAGTTAAACAGCAACTGCTGTGCCTTGAGTAAGTGTCACTGTTACACCACCAGGACTGCAGCTTGTTCGGTGCCTTCTCACAGCCTCCTGGACCATGGGGAAGCCCTTCTCCTTTGGAAATTTGGGTAAGGAACCATCTGGGATGCTCTCTGAAGCCCCAGATGCTGACATGCTGACCCCATCATCACTGTGTGTGCCTACTTTGAACACCTACACCTGTAAATTTTCCCTGTGTGGAAGGTGAGCTGCATCCTCCTCATGGAACAGCACAGCTCAAAGATGGGTTCAGATCTAATCTAGCTTTTCCAAGAGCAGGAGGAATTGTACACATTCCAAGAAACAACAGTGAGTGTGAAAAAGGAGATTAATAATATTTTGTTCAGCTGTGATGTGGGGGCAATGAGGACAAAACCATGTGGAGCTCTGTGGCCATGTGAGGCCTGAGGGCACCCACTTTCCTGTGACTCCACTGCCTTGAGGCACGGTGGGTTGGGAAGCTGGGAGGGGAATTTTACCTGCCCATGAAGGTGGAGAGCTGAGCCAGCTTCCAGGGGCTCCAGGGCTGCAGGAGCTTAGCCAGGATGAAGCTCCCTGCAGACACAAGTTAAGCTGGGAAAGCCAAGGCTTGTCCTCAGGTCCTGGCACTGCCCCCATGTTTGGGAACAAGAGTGGGAACAGGGGGAGGCTTTTTCCAGGTCTGGATGTTCTGCTGGTCAGAGGGAGCCTTCACTGCCTGTGGCCTGCATGGCCCAGGAGCTGCCTGGGGCCTTGGGGCTCTGCTGCTGGGTAACTCTGGCCTGGCTCTGCCTGACATGCCCTGATGTGCCCTGCAGGGTATTTTGTAGCTCAGAGTATTTTTGGCAGTGGTGATGCCCTGAATGAGCCCAGGCTCCAGCTCCTTGAGCCTAACATCTCCTACCAGCACACTCGGAGCCATCTAAACCGAGCTGTAAGTAACCCTTAATCTCGGATTTAGGTGGAAATTGGGTCACCTGACTACAGCCCTGTATTTGGAGCTTCTCCCCTGGCTCATTAACCTAGAGCTGGGCCTGGCTCACAGGGTTTAGTCACGGACAGAAGCACAGAGTTGCTGCTGCAGTTCAGAGTCACCTCCAGCTCGTGGAGGGGCCTGGGAGGCTCCTGCCGCTTGCAGAGACGCTGCCAGTGACTCCCAGCTCTGCAAAGGGAGGTTTTACCCAGCCGGGGCTGGCTCACACAGCATGGGTAACCCCCGAGCTGGGAGGGCTGGTCCTCAGGGGGGTCCCCAGGTGCCCACCCTCGCTGTCCTCGCCGGGTGCTCGCGGTGTCCCCGTTCTCCCGCTCACCTGTACGTGGCACCATTGAGCTCGGGATGAATCGCCTGCTGGTCTATTACTGACCACGGGGCCGTCGTGACAAAGAATTCCTTATTCACACAGTTCCTTAGGCTTTCTGGGATGCGGCCTGGAGATGGCAAGAAAGGGGAGCCTGTGTCAGGGAGGGCCCAGCTTTATCACCCTCTAAGGAGCTGCAATGCTTAAAATTTCACTATGTCAGTGTGAAGGGTGGGAGGAAAAAAAATAATCCCACATTTCTTGTTTCAGGAGGATGTTTTGGCTGTCCCGAGGTGCAGGGTTGGAGACCAGTTACCCACCCTCACTCACTCCCAACACTTGGCTTTCAGAGGAGGTGATCCCTTGAGGGCAACTTTTAGGACAGGAGAAACACTATTGCTGGAGTATTGTGCCCACCACCTTGGATTTGGGTTTTGGAATGCAGTGGCTGTGTCTGCCCCACTGTGTGGGTTAGCACCAGTAACAGGGGCAGCAGTTTCTGCTTCCCTGTCCTGTTCTTCCCAGTCACAGACTCCAATATTTGCTCATTCATTAAAAAAATCAAACCAACACAAAACCTGTCACCCAGTCACAACAAAACAGGGAACTTTGGGTTCTCAGCTCTTTCACTGGGAAGCAAACTGGGGTTAGATCCCTTTCCCAGTGAGCTGCTGGGAACATGAGCAGGGTGAATCCCTGTCTCTGCTCCTCCTGGCTCCCGTTCCAGGCACCCAGGGAGCCAAGCCCAGCACCCCCAGGGGCTGGGTACCTGTGATCGCACGTCGGATTTCCGTGGCAGCAGCTTCTCTCATCTCTAGGGACGCCTGCTCGCTGTACCAGGCTGTGTGGGGAGTGCAGATCAGGTTGGGAGCATCTTTCAATGGGCCTTGAGCAAAACTGGGAGCAGGGGAAGACAAACAAAGAGATTAATGTTTAAACAAAGAATAAAAGATGAACGGCAAAAGGCTTGTGGCCTGCCCTCTGCCTCTGTAACACTCTTTCCAAGGCCAGGCTGAACGGGGTTTGGATGAACCTGCTCTAGTGGAAAGTGTCCTTGCCCATGGCAAAGAAATAGAACTAGATGACCTTTAGGGTGCCTTCCAGTCCAAATCATTCCATGATTTCCTGGCCTGACAGTCCTGCCAGCCCAAAATGGCCACAGAAGTGCTGGGGAGGAAGCACAGCTTCCATGCAGGGCTCAGAAAATGCAGGCTTCTGAAAATGCACCAAAAAGAGCTGAAACACCAACCCATGGAGTGGTTTGGCTAAATGCTCCCATGGGAAAAATGTTTGGGGGTATCTGCAGCAGTGTGGGGATAAAGGGACATGCTGTGGGTCAGCCCAGGATGGGAGAGGGTGGACACTGGGGTTCCCCTTGTGTAGGAGCAAACTTTTTGTTTAAATATTTCTGTGGTGAGAGAAGCTGCACTCCCAGTTACAGCCCAGCCCTTCCCAGGCTGCAGGCAAAAACGCCCAGCACTGAGCACAGTGAATTTGTTCTCACAGGCTATAGTGAATGTTTCAGGATTTTATCTAAACACAGGCTGGGTTCTTGTTCTAAGCTCTCAGTGTCCATTTGAGCACACGTAAGCCCAGTGCTGGACTACAGCTGATGGCTGCTGCAAGCTGACAACAGCAGGACTGTCCCCCAGCGCTGGGCTGTGTGCCAAGGGGCAGTGACACTCAGTGGGTGCTGGGTACCCCTGGTTGGTGTTGGCACGAGCTGGAGCTTTACCTGAACGGTTCCGACTCGTGCACGTCAAGTGCGGCCCCTCGTATCCGTCCCTCCTTCAGGGCTTGGGTTAAGGCCTTCTCGTCCACCAGCCCCCCGCGGGCCGTGTTCACCAGGAACGCTCCCTGCCTCATCTGCCGCCGGCACAGAGAGGGATGACCATCAGCTGGCTGCTCTGACCCCATCCCATCCTCACCCCCACCCTGGCGTGCTGCCTCCAGCTGTGACAGCATCCCACTTTTTCTGCTCCAGCCCCAGAGCAACCCCCATCCCACCACACGTGGGTTTTCCATGGGATCTCCATCTTTGGTTGGTGTTGGCAAACAAAACCCGCTGTTGCCATCACCTCTGCACCAGAGGGACGGGGATCATTCACCTGGCAGGACACTGCTCCCCCTAAACACTGTGGGGAGACACACCTGGGTGCAACCAGCTGTTCTGGAGCTGCTGGCTCACAGGGGAAACTGAGGGATCTGTGGCCAGCTCCTGCACTCAGGCCCTGCCCACCAAAGCTCTCCTCGGCCACGCACATGAGGTGAATTAATTACCTGCTTAATCGTGAAGTCATTGATAAGGTGGTGGTTGTGTTCGTTAAGGTTGCAGTGCAAGGAGACGCAGTCGCTCTGGTAGAGCAGGTCCTGCAGGGTGTAGACCCGCTGGACGCCCAGGGAGCGCTCGATGCCGTCCTGCAGGTACGGGTCATAGAAGATCACGTTGAAGCCAAAGGCCTTGGCTCGGACCGCGACCGCCTGTGCAGTGCGACCTGTGCCAAAGGGAAGGGACAGCGGGAGTTAACTGAGCCCAACTTCCCTGTGTCCGAGAGGCTGAGGTCCCAGCAGGACCTGAGGACTGTCCCCTGGGGCCTGCAGGGCTCCCCAGACATTCCCCTGCCTTACCTCAGTTTCCCCATTTAAACATGCTGGTATGAGCGCTTGTCATTAATTAGCTGATCCCGCCTCTAACACTGAAACTCTCTACAGCTGTGGCTGAACTTAAGCTCTGTTTTACACAGCCCTGCACTGTGCAGGCCAGAGTGGCTCAGGGAGGGCTGGGTTGCTGTAGCTGTGGCTCAGGGTGAGGACAGCAGCACTACCTCGAGAGTTGTGGTCCCTCTAAAACACCACTGCGTTTCACCAATGCTCCTCCAAGGACTCAACCACAGCTCAAAAACAGCTCCCCAAAAACCCGTGTGAGATGTTCTCCCTGTTTCACACCGATCCACTGTGGTGCTTCTGGTTTTGGAAATGCTCACTCTGGGTCCTTCCCCCTCAGGAGCCGCCCTTGCCCCACGCACCGAAGCCGATGAGGCCGAGCGTCTCTCCGCGGATGCGGGCGGCTCCGGAGGCCACCTCCCGGATCTGCTCCACGCTCTGCACCCGCGTGCCCTCGCGCAGCGCCTGGTACAGCCACGTGTTCCGCCGGTACAGGTTGAGCACGTGGCACACGGTGGAGTCGGCCGTCTCCTCCACGGCGGCCGAGGGGATGTTGCAGACGGCGATTCCTGCGGAGGCCACACACAGATCACAGCCTGGCCCGTGCCAGCCCTGCCAGCCCCTGCCCCCTGTCTCAGGGACCCATCTGTGGGATGAGGTGACTCCCAGCTGCCCTTCCCACCAGCTCCTCACACTGGTGTTTACTCTGTGCCCCTCAGACACCCAGGGATGATGGTTCAACCCCATCAGCCCGTTCTGGGGTGCCTTTTAACGCGTCCAAACTGGTGCCCAGCCCAGCCAGTGGGTGGCCCTGGCACCGCTGCTCAGGCCCTGGTCACTGATTGACTGCACGGTTTAAAAACTACCTTATGGAAAGCAATACCAATTAAACTTTACGCTACATTTGTGGGAAGTCATTACATTTTCTACTCGAAACCACATCATTTGGCCACCCAATTTGCCAAGTAAAAAAAGAAGGATTATGCTGCAGTATCCCATTACTTTATTCGTTATATCTTTCCCTTCCTGATGTTCAAAGCCTCAGAACATTGTTATAATGGATAATAACAATAAGAGTTAAAAACATGAAGAAACCATTACACTGAGGAGACACTGTTCTCCTCTTGAAAAAAGAAAACAATTCACTATATTGAGAATTGCTTTTTTTAGGAATGACTATATGAGACTCTCTTATTGCAATTATCTCTGTAAAACAGCTCAGGTGGAATGGCTGTTACTCTTCACTTCCCCAGAGATAACCTTTAATACAACATATGCCAAAAGGCTGCCCCACAGACTGAATCTTGGGATCAGATGAGTAAAGCCTGTTGTAACTCAGCTGCTAAAACCAGGGATACAATTAAGCTCTTGCAGCTGGGCATGTGCAGCCAAAAGTCTGTGACCACCCAAACCAATTCGGAAATTGGGTGGTCCCATCATTGCCTGACAACATGACTCTCCCTGTTCTCGACAATCCATGCTAAAAGCCTTTTCCAGGTTCCTGAGGCACCTTTGATGAGATGGCAAAGGAGGTGGCACCAACCCAACACACAATTCCTGCTCCACCATCCAACACAGCGCCTTCCCAGCGGAGCAGGCATGACTCAGAGAACCAGCTCCGATCAAGAGACTGATCTTGCTTAACAAAAGATAATAAAACACCCTTCCTCCAATTTTTCTAAAGCTGTATCCACTCTCCTGTGGCAGAAATAGAACAGCCATACAAATACCCAGTGGCATGAAGGGGCACCTGAACTTGAAACAGTGCAGGAATGAGGGATTCAGACAGGGCAATTTTTTAATGATATGAACCCAAAAGCTGCTTTCTAAAACTGCATTATTTTGTTCACTTCATGGTCAGGTTTTCATGGCATAATATTCTCTGTGTGCAAAAAATGTAAACTCCACCTGTAATTTTAGAGGCTGAATGGAGGCTCTGCCTGGAACTCTGCTATGCCAGCGTGGTCCCAAGGAAGCAGCAGCTCCTTGTGCCAGGGAGGAGGGAGGGAGGGAGGGAGGAAGGAGGGAGGGAGTCAGGGTGCAGAGCTGGGACCTACCGAGCTCCCCAGCGGCTTTGATGTCGATGTTGTCGTAGCCGCTGCCTATTCGGACGATGACCCGCAAGGCCTTGAACTTCTCCAGGTCCTCCCGGGTCAGGGTGATGGTGTGGTACATCATGGCCCCCACGGCTTCATTCAACACCTGCAACACAACACAGCAGTCAGGAGCCACCAGCACACCTGGGGGGACACCTGCAGCTCAGGAATCAGGAACATGGCACAGTGAGTTGGACATTCTCACTGCTGACCTGCTGGCTGAGCCAGGTGTCACCAAACCCTGCAGGGTTGTGACCCACCAACACCTCTGGGAATGGATTTGGTGAATATCCCAAAGTTATGATGTTACATCTGAGCAGGTGTTTTTTTCCAGGTGGTTATCTGCAAATCCCTCTGCTTCCAGGCAGCAGTAGTTCTGCTTTCAGAAAGGAATTCGTGTTGCAGGACTGTCTGAAGGGTTTGAACAGGACTGTGGGACACTCCTAACTCCTGGACCTCCTTGTGCATGTCCAAACTCTGGCCACACCTACCTTTCCTGGCTCTTCTCAAGGGGACCTGAGAAGCTCTGCAGAGGCTGCACAGTCACACAGGGCTGGGCCTTGCCCCTTCAGTGAAGATCCAGATCATCATTGGTGCTCACCACATGCTACCTCAGTGCTCTGAAAACCCAAGACCCATCCAAACCCCTCAAGCCTGGCTCATCTATTAATGTCTCACAACAAACCCCCATTCTCCTTCCCCCAAATTTAGTATCTGCAAAGACCAGCACTGATGCTATTTGCATTCCTCTTTCCCAGATCTTGGAAGTGATTTCTGATCACTTCAAACCTCATTTGAGGCGTCTGAAATAATACTTTTAAGAGAAGCAGTTACATGTAGTAGAGCTTCCAAGCAGAAGCATTCATCCACACCACATGGATCTGCCTGAATGATTCCCAAACCTCCTCCACTCCCCCTGGAGAGAGAGGAGCTGCTGGAGGTGCACCAAGGACCTGTGAAGATCCACCAGCTGCAGCTGGGATGGTGTCAGCAAAGCCACAGCAAGAGCACCACGGACTTCAAAGAACATGAGAAATGTTAATAACATTGATGTGACAAACCTGATGCAAAGAGATAAAGTGACTTTTTTTTTTTTTTCCAAAATAACATCTGGCTTCTAAAACAACCTGAATGAATTTTAATCTGCAGTGGCTTCTGTTGATGTTATCTGGTGATTGACTCGAAGTGCCGCTTTGTACTTTTTCTGTTCAAAAATCAAATGATCAGACTGATTTGGGTTGGAAAGGAGCTCATTTTTCCAAACCCCTGCCATGGGCAGGGACTCCTTCCACCGTCCCAAGGTACTCCAAGCCCTGTCCAGCCCGGCCTTGGACACTTCCAGAGATCCTGGGGCAGCCACAGCTCCTCTGGGCACCTGTGTCAGGGCTTCCCCATTCCTCATAGGGAGGAATTTTTTCCCAATATCCCATCTGTCCCTGCCCTCTGGCAGTGGGAAGCCATTCCCTGTGTCCTGTCACTCCACACCTTGTCCAAAGCCCCTGTCCAGCTCTCCTGGAGCCCCTCTAGGCACTGGAAGATGCTTTAAAGACGTGGAAGAGCAAGGCCAGACCCCGCTGCCTCCAGCCCACCCCAGCTCTCCCGGTACCTTCTCGTGAATCTCCTGAGTTGATTGTGCGTCACAGAATGCCACCGTGGCCAGGTCCTTCAGGATGGGCATCTCCACGGTGCAGTCCCTGCCGTCCAGCAGCGCCACCAGGGGCCGGGGGTGCATGGGGCCGTTCATGATCTGCGGGCGGATACCTGCGGGCACAGCGAGCACAGCGCGTTTCTCACGGCTCCCTGGCACTGGAGGGGCAGCAGCACCTGCTGACATCCTGCACTGCAGGGCCAGGGGTAACAGCAACAAGGGCTGAACTCTGGCCAAGGGACTGGAATACTCTCTGGGAACACAGCTGCGGTTTTGCCCCTGTTTTTTTAGGGAATGGCTTTACCATTCTGACTACCTCAGAAAAACAAGTCCAAACAGAGACTCAAAGAGCAGGATTCCTGGAAAATCACGGGAAGAGCAGGACACTGAGGACCTCTTTAGCACAGAAGGTTATACTCTGATGTATTGCCAACTACCAAAGGTTTCATGGGAACAGCAAAGCTTGTCTTTGTAAACCAAATATTCTCCTCGGAGGAGAGGAAGGAATTGATCATCACCCAAGGGCCACAGCATGCTGAATTTTATATCCTATTTATTGTTCTGGTGGGGATTAACTGGTTCATTTTGGGACAAATCACTCAGAAATTTCTACACCTCCCTTTCAGTAATGGTGTTTATTATATTAGGACCCTGTGAAATACCTCAGGTATCTTTCTCAGCTGCTTAGGCAGTTTCTGAGCAGAGCACAGGTGAGGGGACCAGGTGCTCTGGGTATAATGTGGTGCTTTATTTCTGCTGCAGCACCATGAGATGGTTGGAGCTGGAGGGTCTGGCTTTGAGTCTCCAAAGCCTCAGACAAGCAGCCCCAGCAAAGCCTCTCCTTACCTCCCCACTTTTGCAAAAGAACCTGCCAGGGCTACCAGCCAACAACTGTCTGGCCTTTAAATGCAGTGGCTGTGCTGATTAGGGGGACAAGCCCAGGGCTTGGCTGAGGGAACTCCATGGGGCTGTTTTGGGGTGTTTTGTGGGACAGTCTCCCCCAGCTGATGTGGCTGTTGCAGACATGGGCACTACTGGCCACAGCGATGAACCCCAGACCTGCAGGCACCAAGAGCGAGGTCCCAGGGAGGGACCCTGCACTGCTGCTACACTCACACAGCTACACTCCTTTTACAGGGGAAAAAACAACTCCATGGAAACAGGCAGGTTTAATGGAGGGGGTTCAGTGGCTTTCCATTCCTTTTCCACTGAATCTGCTTAAAGAAATGAAGAACCAACCAAGCCAGCAGACCCGACTGAAGGTTTTCAGCATTACAGGTGGGTGCTTTTGGAACTGGTCCTTCCCTCCCCCTTCCCTACTGAGGTCTCCATTACTGGAAGTAATCCATTATGTTTGCATGCATTTCATCCAGATGGGAGTGCAAGTGTGTCAGTAGGCAGGGTGGAGTGCCGAGACGATCTGGATAAGGGAAAGAAGCTTGTGATAAGCAGATAAGCAAGAATAAAAACATGGCCAAATCTCCGAGCGCTTACACAATCCCTCTGGGCAGCGCTGCACCCCAGCTAGATTATTTTCTCAGGTTAACAAGCAAGTGAATTATAACACTGACTTAAATGCTTACTAATGTGTATGATCTCCAAGGCTTAGAGCCTCACACCACAACTGCAAATAAAAAGGAATCTGGTGCAGGGCCAAGGTGACTGTGGTGGTGGCAGTCCCGATGGCCACCATCCCTGTCCCCAAGCTTGGAGCCCAGCGCCCACCAGGGACCAGGACCATGCTCAAGGCAGAGCAGTGGGCACACAGAGGTTGGAGTGGCTTCCTGTGAGCGTGGCAGGTGGAAGATGAATCCACAGGTTATCTGAAACTTTAACATTTAATCCGAGCCCCAAAATAACGGGTTTATTATGCTGTCCTTACATAAGCTTCTTTGAAAGTCAAACGAAACACAGTTGTTTTTTTTTCCTTTTTTCTTTTCTTTTCTTTTTTTTTTTTTTAAACAGCATCTGTGTCTTTGCTTGGGATTAAGGATGTAATTGTGCATGATGACACAGGCTTCTTAGGCACGTCACCCTTGCCCACACACTCAAGTGCAGTCACTGAGGATGAACGTGGATGGAACCCGTGAGGTACGCACAGGAACTGCTCTTGTTTCTCCTGCTTGAAGGAGGGAATTTATTTCAGCTCGACAAGGAAAGTTCTGAAGCAAATCAATACAGGATGAAGTGCATAATGTATGGAAATGACATTTTAATAAAAACCATTGGCAGGTTTGCAGCTTAAACCGTGCTCTGTTTTCCTCAGCCGCCTCTCCCGTTGCCTTTCCACCACCCTGCCTCCATTCCTCACCGTCCTGGCTCCTACCCCTGCACAAACACATCCAAACCAACACATTTGGACTGACAAAACCAAGCCACCCCGCCTCCTACAGCACGTTTGTTCTGCAGGCCACTGCTTCATTAAGAAGGAGGTATGCCACGGATCAGAAAGTAATTAAACAGCAGCCACTCCCCCCGAAATTGTGATAAAACATCGCAGCCATTAACCCTTTCATGCTGTGTAAACCACGAGCATCACCAACCCTGCGGAGGTAGGCACCAGCTCTCCTGGGGCTGGGGTGGGATCAGCTCTGCCTCCCAATTTCGATGCTTCCCACACCATCTGAAGCTGATTTTTACAGAGAACCCCCCCAGCTGTTCCTGCAAAGTTGGGGCAAGTATTGTTCAATACTTTTTTTTTTTATTATTATTATTTATTTTTTTTAAGCGTTTTCAGCCGCCTGCAGAGCCTGGCCAGCAGTGTGGGGAGAGCTTGGTAAGGAAGAGGGAGAGGAGGAAAGGTTTACAGGGAGAAAATAAAAGAAAAAAGAAAAGAAAAGAAAAGAAAAGAAAAGAAAAGAAAAGAAAAGCAAGGTTTTGCAGGCACAGAGAACTCAAACTCCACCCCGGCTCACAGGCAGCGCCGCTTGTTGCACGCAGCCCCGCGTATAAAGTGCTTTTGTTTCATTTTTAATACACAAAGCCTGCTTGTCCTTTCCTGCCGCTCCTCCCCTTTGCCACCCACTTGTATCCGATCCCAATGGCACCCCTGCCAAGAGAATTAGGGAGTGCTCCCTGCTAAATGGCAGCCTTTGTGTGACCGCAAGACGGCTGGTACTATCTCACCGAAACAAAAGCAGAAGCCATTTGCCTAATTCTTATTAATCTCAGTTGCCTGCGCCACGCAGCAGTAAAATAAAAAAAAAAAAAGGAAAAAAAAAAAAGAGGAAAAAAAAAAGGAAAAAAGGCTTTAAACATGTTGTCCTGCAGTATATAAAAGTGCATCAAGAAGCGATCCTGACACTCGCCTGAATTACCCGCTCACAACCAAGTAGCTACAGTTTTACAGTCAACTACACACTTTATTAAACAAACAGAAGAGAAACAGGAAATTTCCCCTTGCCTGGAAAATGTTGCCTCCACATTCTTCTTCTTATTAAAAACCACACATGGCAGTGGAGGAGTAGGGAGGGAGGAGGAAGGGGGGGAACCCACACACGATAAAATACTACCACTTTTCAGTGCGTTGCCTCTCCTTTCGTCTACGAGGGGGTATCTTCAAACAAGCGATCCCGCGGCCCACAGCTGCAACATCTCAAGACAAATGTCTCTTTGAACACGGAGGGAAAAGAAAAGGCTTTTGTCCTGAGCCTCAGAAGAATGGTCTGAAATTGCGAGAGGAGTTACAGTCACCTCTGCGCGGCTCCCAACTCTTCAGAGCACTCCCTCCAGACTTTGCCGAAGCTTTTAACTAATCGTAGTTCTTTCCCAGCCCTTGAATAAAATCATGTGAGTGCCAGCCAAAAAATCTTATGCTATGCACACTAAAGGGTTTGTATATGTCACAGTTGCTTTTCCCCCTTCCACTCCCCTCCTCCTATTGACTTGCACATATGACTGGGTTTTTTTTCGAGTTGTCTCAAATGGATTTAATCTGTGCCACGCTGCGGTTTATGTTTGTTTGGGTTTTTTTGTGTGCGTGGCTTTTTTTTTGCTTTTTTTTTTTTCCACTTAAAAATGAAACATGCCTTTCTTTCCATACAGAACGTGGCTGCAGAAAAAGGCTGATAGCCTTGAGCAGCAGCACCTCGAAAATAAACACAAAGCACTGGGGAAAAAAGCAAGGCTGTGCTGATCTCAGCTGCACCCAGAAACCAAGGGCCAAATTCTTTCTTGATGTATGAATCAACTGATTTTCGGCATCAGAAATGACACTTGACTGATGGCAGGATTCACATCTTCTTGGACACATCCATCTCCTGGTCCTGCCCAGTTTGTCCCAAACAGGTAAAAGCAGCCCCACGTCACTGTTTGAGGGAACGGCTGGAGCTGTGTCAGGGGAGGTTTAGACTGGAGATCAGGGCAAGGTTCTTCCCCCAGAGGGGGCTGGCACTGCCCAGGTGTTCAGGGAATGGGCACTGAGGCTGCCAGAGCTCCAGGAACCTTTGGACAGCGCTGCCAGGGATGCACAGAGGAGGATTTTGGGGTGTTTATGCAGGGACAGGGGCTGCACTCAGTGATCCCTGTGGGTCCTTTCCAGCTCAGGATATTTTATGACTTTCTAATTGTCATCCCAATCACACACTCTGTCAGGAGTGTGTAGGACAGTGCTGTTTGTACGTGGAGAATGAGGGCAGGCTGTCCCTGTGCAGTGCCCCATCTCCAGAGCACAGCTTGGAGCAGTTGTTGGAGCAGTTGTTATTTCCTCTTTCCAGTTGTTATTCCCTCTTTCCAGTTGCCATTGTCACTGCCAGTGGCACCAACAGCTACAGACAATCTCCATCCAAGAAATAAGAAAAAACCCCTGCACCTCAGTCCTGTTCAACACCATCAGCAGTGCCTCTTGCTTAAACACTTGAAATTCCCCAAAGATTTGCTGTCCCATCCATCACCTCTGCATTACAAGCTGGAGAGCCAAGGTCCCAAGGTGCCTTTCCAGGGATCCCCATCCCTGCAAGCAGAAAGGTGAGTGGCAAAGGTGCCTCTGGGTGGTTCTGTGAGGATGAGGATGTTTTGGGAAAGCACTCTGATGCTGCAGGACCCACAGGATCACCCTCCTCCACCGCAATGTGCTCACCATTGATGCTCTTTCTTTCACTCAACTTTTCCTGTT